TCTTGAGCAGCGATTGGAAGAGGACTCAGGTGAGGATGATGAAATAAACTCTTTCTGGTATGGATTAGCTAGTGATTCTGAGATAATTAAAGAAAGAACAAGCCGAGATGCAAGGAAGAAACAGAGAAAGAAGAAGAAGAGTAAGAGGATTAGATCGTGCCAAGCGGTGTACAAGGATTCCAATCCAGCAATGACTGTTGGGGTCCAGAAGATGGGTCGTAGATGGTCAAGTTTATTAAAGGAATTGAGAGAAAAAGTCCCTGAATTCTACCCAAAGGACACCAACTCTGTAGCGGGGGCATCAATTACAGATAGTGCTATTGAAAACTGCAACAGAGGGTTTCATAATAAGGATAGAGTCACTTCAGCTCTAGATGCATGGAATCTCATCAAGGATATGGGTTTGGCTGCTGATGGGAATGAAGATGAAATCATCAAGAAGATTGAGTTGATGGAGCAGAGGGACATTAATGCTAAAAAACAAGCACTGGAAAGCAATACGGTGAACGATGGTGAGGTACATATATTTCATCCATGATTATTCTCTCTTATAATGTGCGAGGCTTGGGTGGTTCTGATAAGAAAAGAGAAGTAAAGGAATGGGTAATAAAGGAAAAAGTGCAGTTTCTAGCTTTGCGAGAGTCAAAATTAGAACAAGTTAGTCGTCAAACTTATAAAGCTTTATGGGGTACAGATGATTTTGAATTTGTAGCTAGGCCTTCTGTAGGTCATTCGGGTGGATTGATTGGTGTTTGGGATAACAATATTTTCCAGCTGAATAGAATTTTTAGCGGAGAACACTACTTGGGTTTGTTTGGTTTTTGGGAAACAAACAGGATGCTAGTGCACCTTATAAATGTCTATGGCCCTTGTGATTTGGTAGGAAGGAGGCAGTTGTGGACTGAGCTAAAAACTCTAATTACAAGTATGAAGGGTAACTGGTGTGTGATGGGAGATTTTAACACCACAAAGAATAATCAGGAAAGAATTGGATGCACTAGTGTGTCAAGAAGCATGTGGGATTTTGCAAACTTCATTCATGAATCTAGGTTGGTGGATATCCCTTTAATTGGAAGAAAGTACACATGGTACCACTCAAGCAGCAACTCTATGAGTCGATTAGATCGATTCCTGATGACAGAGGAATGGTTAACAAACTGGAGTGAAACAAGGCAGTGGGATTTGAGGAGATCACTCTCTGATCATTGTCCATTGTTGTTGAGAGATTCAAAGATTAATTGGGGCCATAAGCCCTTTAAATGCTTCAATAGCTGGATTGACAAGCCAGGCTTCCATGAAATGGTAATAGATACATGGAGAACAACTAATGTTCAAGGATGGAAAGGCTACTGTCTTAAGGAGAAAATCAAGCTTGTAAAGAAAAGGCTTAAGGAATGGAGCCAGAATGATCGTATGAGGCTGGATCAGAGCATTGCTGAAAGCAAAGATAAAATTGAAGCACTTGATTTAAAATGTGAACAAGGGACTCTTTCAAGGTAGGAAGCAAGTGACAGGAAAATTGAATTTTACAATCTTTGGAGTAACTTGAAGACCAGGGAAGGGCAATGGAGACAGAAAGCTAGGAAACAATGGTTGAGAGAAGGAGACGCAAATTCCAAATTCTACCACAAATGTATTAGCAGCAGACAACACAGGAAAGAGATTGTCAATATCCAGGTAAATGGGAAGAAGTTAGAAGATGTTGATAATATCAAAAATAGCATATCAAAGTACTTTGAAAATCTGTTTAAAGAAGAAGAATGGAAAAGGCCGAATATGGATGGCATTTCTTTCAAACAAATTTCCCAAGCCCAGAATGATCTACTGTTATGCCATTTAATGAAGATGAAATCAAAACAACAGTGTGGGATTGTGGGAGTGACAAGGCTCCAGGACCTGATGGTTTCAATTTCACTTTCTTCAAGAAAATGTGGAGTGAAATAAAGGATGATATAGTGGAATTTGTCCAGGAATTTCACAAGAATGGGAAGTTAGTAAAAGGCTTGAATGTTTCTTTCTTAACATTGATTCCAAAAGTGAAGAATCCACAGAGAATTGAGGAGTTTAGGCCTATTTCACTCATTGGCTCCCTGTACAAAATTGTTGCTAAATTGCTTGCTAATAGG